GCCATTTTCTGACAGTTTTCAACTTTCCAGATACATTTTTGAACAGCCTGGAAAATGACCTTCTGGACTTCCTCTCAAGCTCCAGAGCATATCAATGGATAGATAAACGTCTCATAATCAAAACAAACTCTTAAACTTTAATTTACACTGAGCCAATTGAGATCTATGGCCTCCCAAAGTAGGCTACTTGAACATGAAAAATGACTTGGACAATTTTTTGTTTCTTTCTCGGAATTTGACATGGCCTCTTTGACGATCAATCCCGGATGGAATTTGATCGATTCCAGGATTGTATCAGTGGGTCGACCCGTTCTATTAGACCTGGCAATCGGGTCGGGTTGGGTATTTTCGGGTTGAGAACTCCGGTTACGGGTCGGGTCATGTTTGGTTGGCTTATTTTGGGTCAAATATTGATCCAACCCATTCGACTTCGGGTCGGGTTACAGGTCATTTCGGGTTCTGAGCGTTCTCAGAAACAATATCAAACATGCTTCATATTTTCTTAAAGAACACAAATTTTCACATATGCATGACTATAGTTTACCTAACACATGTCAATTAACATATTCTCAAATCCTCCCACGCTAATGAAATGAAATATAAATTGCACAAATCGTAAAAAAACAATCACAAGAGTAATACTACTACAAGAAACACATGATATTTGATTATCCTTAAACTCCAAACATGTCATTCAAATTCTTGTGATTTTTTTAAACATCTCACCAATTTATGAGTGATTTTATCATATTTTGGGATCAATATATTAAATAAAACGGGTCTAACGGGTCGACCCGCTAACCCACACAACCCGACCCAAAAAATCACGGGTTATCGGGTTTGGGTCATTCGGATTTCAGGTTATAAAAATTTCTAGTTTTCGAGCGGTTTCGGGTCAATGGGTCGGGTTGTAATTTGCCAGGTCTACGTTCTATTTCATATGTAACTCCCAAAATGATCAAATCACTCATAAATTGGCGAGAACTCGTTTTACTGTTCACTAAGAATACACTAGCTTCACATATAATTATAACAATACTACTAATACTAATAGCTCTTCATTTGAGTAGTGCTATTGGGTAATGGGTTTTTATAGACCTGGCAAATTATTACCCGACCCGTTGACCCGACCCCAAATCGCCCAAAAAATAGGAATTTTTATAATCTGAAATCCGAATGACCCGAACTTGTTAACCCGTGATTTTTTTAGTCGGGTGGGTTTGTGGGTCGACCAGTTAGACCCGTTCCATTTCATATGTAACTCTCAAAATGATCAAATCACTCATAAATTGGTGAGAATTCGTTTGACTGTTCACTAAGAATACACTAGCTTCACATATAATTATAACAATAATACTAATACTAATAGCTCTTCATTTGAGTAGTGTTGGGGTTTTTTAGACCTGGCAAATTACAACCCGACCCGAAATCGCCCGAAAAATAGGAATTTTTATAACCCGAAATCTGAATGACCCAAACCTGTTAACCCGTGATTTTTTGGGTCGGGTTGGGTGGGTTTGTGGGTCGACCCGTTTGACCCATTCCATTTCATATGTAACTCCCAAAATGATCAAATCACTTATAAATTGGTGTGATGTTTAAAAAGATTCACAAGGATTTGAAAGACATGTTTGGAGTTTGAGCATAATCAAATATCATGTGTTTCTTGTAGTAGTATTACTCTTGTGATTGTTTTTGACGATTTGTACAATTTGTATTTCATTTCATTAGCATGGGAAGGTTGGAGAATATGTTAATTGACATGTGTTAGGTAAACTATTGTCATGCATAAGTGAAGATTTGTGTTCTTTAAACAAATATGAAGCATGTTTGATAGTGTTTTTGAGAGCGCTCATAACCCGAAATGACTCTTAACTCGACCCGAAACCGAATGGGTTGGGTCAAATTTGATATCCTCTTACCATTCGTCAATTGAAGAGAGAAGATGTAAACATTTGATCTTCGATTGAATTTTGTTTATTTAGAAAAATTAATTAACATTTTTTCAAATAAAGTTCTATGGGGTAACGTAACACCATAATTAGTAAAATATAGTACACTATGTTATGGTAATGATACATATGGAATTTTGTATATCAGTTTAACACAACAATACACTTAAAAGTTTGTCATCAGTTATAAATACTAGGAATCTATACTTTAAAATGCATATAAATATAAAAATTATTAAATTATCTATTCAATTCCTTACAATATGCGTATTGAACATTTAATAGGTCTTTAAATGTGAAGCATTAAATAAATGATTAAAAAAATGGTTCTATAATACTATGAGACTGTTAGCAAGAGTGTTAATTGAATTTTTGCTAACTATACATGTGAACGTCTAGCATACACATCAGCAAGTGTCAATATAGTACTACAAGGAAAAAGATTGACTGTTAGCAATCAACCAAAAGATCAGTCAAAACAAATCCAATATTTTGAAAATTCATAAAAGAAAATTAAAAAATACACACTCCAACTATCTGTAAATGATACAAACGAGATTTGGATTCTAGGCGCTGCAAAGTGCGAAAATAAATCGAGTTACAAATATATTTGGTAGTTTTGCTATGTAGCCATCCTTGGCATTGATTGCTGCTCAATGAATAATGTACTTTGTACCCCAAATGAATAATGTACTTTGTACCCAAATTGAATTATTAGGAAAAAAAAGAGAAGGAAATCAGTGGTGGATACATGGGCCTTTAGGGGTGTCCCGGGACACCCCTAAAATTTGGGAAAACGATTATTGAACCCCCGGTAGTAGTTTCGTATGTATAAAAAAAATTATAATTGGTAATCCGGGACACCCTTAATTTTTGAAAAATGGTTATCCTGTCCTCGATAGTAGTTTGCGTATGATTAAAAATATATAAGTAGTATTCTCGGTTATTCAAACCTAGGACACTACTATTATTAAACATATTCTCTAGGTTGCAACTCATTTGTTGTTTTATTTTAAACACTATGTTATAGTAAAAACACTATTCTTTATTCTCAATTATTTTCAAAACTTAACAATTAACCTCATTCGAGCTATCCTTAATTTGAATTGATTTTATAGGTATAAGACAAGAGTTAAAAGAGTCTTTCAAGTTTGAGTTACATCAGGAACAAGGTTAGAAATAAAATATGCGATCAGTTCAAGAATTATTGTCTGATCGGGTAAATGCCACATTTGGTCACTGGGATTACTAAATCGTGTCATGTTTAGTCACTAGAAAAATTTAATATCAATTTTGGTCACTTGAATTAACGAAACAAATCTCATTTGGTCACTCTCATGTAGCCTCTGTCCAACTCCTGTCACTCGAATTATTGAAACATGCCACATTTAGTCACTCGAATTACAAAAACATGTCACATTTAGTCACTCTCCCGATTGTTTTCGTCCAACTCCATTAATGGAGTTGGACGAAAACAATCGGGAGAGTGACTAAATGTGACCAGTTTCAGTAATTCGAGTGACCAAAATTGATATTAAATTTTTCTAGTGACTAAACATGACACGATTTAGTAATCTCAATGACCAAATGTGGCCTTACCCCTTGTCTGATATGGTATATTTGCACTACTCGGATATTTTTTGATTTATGAATTATTTAATTAAATTTATTTTTGAAAGAGGACACCCCTATAAAAATTTCCTGGATCCGCCACTGAAAGAAATCCAACCACATTGCACATGCATCAAAAGGCAAAACATTTTTTTTTTTTTTTTTGACAATGTAAAGGCAAAACATTTGATGACAAAGTTTAATTAGCCGTCTCCACTATGAAGCAATCCATCATCAACCCCACGCTTTTGGTTAAATTTTTATTTTTGCAGTGTGAAGAGCTTACAGAAAGTGAGACTGTCGTATCGTTATCCTTGTACTACACGGTTTACAAGGAGATGATTTCTTTCATTTGGATTTTGTTTTGATCTTTCTGCCAAAAAAAAAGAGGCTTAACTTTTGGGTTCCGACTGTTGACCACTCCAATTTTGACCCAAGAGGCCAAGACAACGACTTGTAGGCTTTCCCATCATGGGGATTTCCCTTTTTCATCAATCACATAGACATCCACTAAACTTTAGGTTCATCACCAAATGGCTCACTCAACTTGAATTATTAACAAATTTGTCCACAAAATGAATTTGAATTGATTCGGATAATCAATTTGGTTTATATTAGCTACGAGGTAAGAACGGGTCTATCCTACTTATAGCTAATTTTAGAGATTCGTAATTTGTACATGACATGTTCAACCGAACCTGTTTTCCAGATGGACCTGCGGGGACATGGAGTGGATGTCCTCTATTGTTGGTCTGCTCGACTTGCCTTGGCTCATTCTCCACTTGTTGTGTTCAACTTCGATATAATACTTACTCGAAGTACTTATATTTTAACTTCTGACATCTTATACTTTAACTCTGATGTAGCTATACTATGAAGTGAGAGCATTCATCTCTTGCATAATTAGTCGTAATTAATCATCATCCTCTCCCATTTCGTACCGCAAATATTTTTCTCAGTCTATTTTTGAAATGAAATAAAAGAATTGTTGCTATGATTTTTGAGATGCATACACAAACGAACTAACTTATCCCGATCTAATTCAAAATCCCCAAACTGCGGCGAGTATAGATACTAAGGTACCCCATTACTATTTTAGCTAGTTGGCATCTGCTTGACATTTTTATTATAATAAATTCAGGTGCTGAGTGCTGACACGTTAATCTTGGATAATTTATTGTCTAATACTGTAATTGACCCATTTCTTTTTCGCAGCATAATAATTGACAACTATAATAAACTAAAACATAAAAAACGGAAAAATTAAACAACGAAAAATGGAAGAAAAAACTGGAGAAGGTTGCACCTAATTTTTTTTAATACTAAAGTAATTAACGTAAAATTATTGTAATTAATAATAATACTTATTATTGAAAAAACAATAATTTTATTAATAAAGCTGGAGGCAGGTAAAAATTGAGTTTTTTTTTTATGCAGTTATATTTGGTGGAGGTGGTGGTGGTGACGCAACGACGACGAAACTGGAAAAGGGAAAACGCCGCAAGACCGCGCACACAGAAGAAGAAGGAGGAGGAGGAGGAGGAGGAGCAATGTACGTGGAGCTATTACCTGCCTTTTCCATTCCGTACCTCTTCTTCCGATCACTACTCTCTTCCCCCTCGCTGCATTAAACCGAATCTCGTCGGCCACAGACGGGGAGAGCTGAGACTCGCCACGGCGTCGGCGGCGCTGGCGTTGACGGCGACGGGCAAGAGGTGCAGGATGAAAACTTCGCTCAAAATATTGCGAGGGGCGCTTCACAAACACAATAACGATGGCGATGCCGGCGGTAGAGACGGACGAGATCTTCGCTCCTTGGCTCAATTGGACGAACTTGCAAGCGCTTCTCAGGTTTTGCTTCCTCTTTGCTCTTTTCGCTTTCCCTGTATCCCCGACGTTAGATTGCTTCTCTGGTTGTATAGCGGATTTCTCCCTTTCGCCAATTTTTTTTTTTTTTTTGACTCGTGGTGGTTTTGAGATTTGGGAAGTGATGGGTCTGTGACTCGATTTGGGCGCTTGGTGAATCAGTGTAGAGATGATTTGGTTAACTTCCATGGCCTGATTCCAATTCCTTTCTCTGTCATGAGTTCGTATAAGTAAGTCCTTTGTTTCGGCTTTTTGGCTTCAATTTATTGCAGGATATGCAGGACATGAGAGAGTGTTATGACAGCTTACTCTCTGCAGCAGCAGCAACAGCTAATAGTGCTTATGGTAATCTATCTTTCTCTCTTGAATTTGCATCGAGTGTTTATGTGTAGTTTAGGGGGATTTCCGCCCTCTCTAAAGTGCTTACGTTGTTCGTGAACTTGGAAAATGGTTCTTGATTCTTCCTCCTTTCCTCAGAATTCTCGGAGTCTTTGCGAGAGATGGGTGCCTGCCTTCTTGAGAAAACTGCATTGAATGATGATGAGGAAAGTGGTGAGTTAGTTTGGAGACCCTCCTGAAAGCTGGGACTTCGACGTGGTGATTTGGTTACCTGGCCTGTATAGGGTGGCAATGTGGCAGAAACTCTAATACCATTTTTTACCATCACTATCTCGTGTAGGTAAAGTCTTGTTGATGATGGGGAAAGCGCAGTTTGAACTTCAGAAACTTGTTGATGCCTATGTGAGTTTTTATTTTATTTTATATAAGGTGCCTATGTGAGTTTTTAATTTGTTGTGTAAAACATTTATTTTATGATCTTTTGATTTGTCCTGTGTGGTAACGAATCAGTGCTTTTGATGTTTCAGCGTGCTCATGTGCTCCAAACAATCACTGTGCCATCAGATTCTCTTCTCAATGAGCTGCAAACAGTTGAGGTTTGTATTTCTCCCTTGGATCTTAAAAACTCATTCCCATTCCTTTTGGTGTTAGAGACGGTAGGCTGGTTGCAATAATGGAATTTCAATGGTTACTGATTCGGATCTACCTAGAATCTCTATTTTGACATCAGGAGAGCCGATCAAGCTGTAGCAGATATAGTAGTATTAGTAGTTTGAGTACCTATAGGAGAAAGAAAATTTTATTTTTCTTCTTATTTGGACTCCTGCTGATCGATCATTAAGAATCGTGAATCACCATCAGGTAAAGGATAATAAATTATTCACAATGATCGATAGTTGATGATCCAAACCGCAAATCTAAGAAGTCTTTGAATATTGAAGTGATCCAGCCCTGCTTGCCTTGTATGAATTGCTCTTGGATGTTAAAACTTATGTTGATACTCGATTGTGGATCCAATGCCAGATAGGACATGTCCAAGAAACCTTGAGTTTGTCAAAAAACTTAACCTTTACTGACTTTCTAAAACTGAAGGGACTAAGTGGATTATTTTGTCTCCTTTACCTTAAATGTCATGATTTAATTTGCTTCAATTAGTTATATTTATGAAGAATTCTGATTCTTTGCTTTGGAAGCTAATGATTATGCTCTTGCACTATTATGTTCTATAGGTGTCATAATTTTAGTTTATTAACTTCTATCTCTTGCGTTCATGCAGGAAATGAAGCAGCAATGTGACGAGAAAAGGTCTGTAGGTTATTTAGCATTTTTCTTACGCTAAAAAATACAAACATAATGCCTATAGGAAATGCCGAAAGATTTAGCTAATTGTCTATAACTACGTTGCTCTTGACCTGCAGAGAAATGTACGAGTATATGAGGATGAGGCGGAGAGAAAAAGGGCGGGCACGGAGTGGCAAAGGAGGAGAGAGAGTAGAGAGCTTCTCTGTGGACCAAGTGCAAGCAGCTCGTGATCGGTATGATGAGGAAGCAACCTTGTTTGTTTTCCGGTTGAAATCCTTAAAGCAAGGACAATCACGTAGTCTTCTTACTCAAGCTGCGAGGCATCATGCTGCACAGGTCTCCGCTCTTTTCTCTGGCATGTCTAACTAGTTCTTCCTCTTTTGGAACCTTTTCTCACTTTGGATTTATAATCAGATGACCTTCTTTAAGAAGGCTCTTAAAGCACTTGAAGAAGTCGAACCACACGTGAAATCTGTCACTGCACACCAGTTCATTGACTACCACTTTGCTGGTCTTGATGATGAAGATGATGGTGAGGATGACGATGATAACAACTCCAGCGACACTAATGATGATGGGGAACTTAGTTTCCAGTATGATCAAAATGATGATGAGCGTGATGTTTCTACATCAAGAGACTCGATGGTGGTAAGTTAGTTATATGTGTTTAATGCTTAAATTCTCTTTTATCCTTGGACTTGATCTGAAGTTCTATTATTTACTGCTAATGTACAGTTGGACGGTGGAGACCTAACCTTTCCCAAAGTGTCAACTTCAGAAGCTAGAAAGGTAAGAAACCATATCTGTTTTGAATACTTCTTGAACTTTTTCATTGATAGGTCTCACTGTTTGGCCTTGGCGTACCAGCTAGAAGGGTCTCACTTCCTTATCTTATCTGCCCCTGTTCGATTAGTTGGGAATAAAGGTTGCAGATTGGTTGGGCTAAAATGAGTTTATGGGATGGGTTGGCAGATTGGGAATCATTGACATTCTTTTGAAATTCAATGTGGATTGGAGGGCATTTCGGCCATTTGTTCAGGTGTAAGAGATGTTGGATAAAGTTTCAGAAGTTCGGATACTAGATTGTTAAATGGCAAATGTGTATTAGTTTTTTTATAACGAAAGATGGTGCCCTATGCATCTGGGCTAAAATTTGCCACCTCTAGGTGAGAATTAAGGGCTGTTTTTCCTTCTGCCTCATTTTTATGATCTTTTTTTTGCTGTGTTTCACAGGAAAATTTTGGCAGAAGCTACAGATCTTATTCTTTCAGAGGAGATGCTCGAACGGGAAGTCAATCAGCTCCACTTTTCGCCGTGAGGAAGTCAGTTTCAGTTGACAAGTTGGAACAGTTGCGGCCATCCTTCGCAAAGAAATTCAGCTCCTATGTCCTTCCTACACCAAATGATCCCAATGGCCGTAGTCCCACCACAGCTTCTAGTGGTCCGATTCCTCGAACCTTTAATGGGGGTAAGCATTGGTCACATTCAAACCGTCATGATCCAAAGAAGTATGAAAAACTCATGGGAGATGAGAAAATGAATCCAAAATCAGCCCTCAGAGAGAGCAACAACAACAATTCTGATGCAGCTACTCGGTTAACTCCTCCAATGGGAGACGGCCTTTTGCTCTCGAGGCTTGATCCAGGTCGCCGCGCAATCTCCGATTTTAGTAAGACGAACCAAAGACAAGCCTTTTCAGGCCCCATTGCAAGGAAATCATGGCCCTCCATCCCTTCTCCACTGGACCAGCATGCTCAGCTCTTATCTGGGCCGCTGTTGCAGACTCGAATGTCCCAAATGCCATCTTCCTCTCCTACCATATCTCCAAGTACTTCACCTACCTTGCTATCTTCTCCTCGGATAAGTGAACTCCACGAGCTTCCGAGGCCTCCAAGGAATCCGTTGAGCTTTGCAGGAGTTGGTCATTCAGCTCCATTATCATTTCCCAGAGGCCAAGCAGCAGCAGTAGCTTCTCCGTTGCCTGTTCCTTCTCAGGTCTCCCGGAGTTTGTCTATACCATCTGGTGGTCAGAGAGCTGTAGCATCGGTCCCTTCAGTGGAGTCGTTAACTCCCCAGGCGACTCAAAATGCTGAGAATGTTGAAGAAGTTTTTTTCTCGCCGCCTCTGACTCCGCTTTCTCCATTGGATGGTCAACCAATGGCTGCAGCTGGTTCCCAAGTCAAAGGTAAGAAGTGATTTACTGATAATTACTACTTCTTGAGTCCTTGACCATTTAAGTAGAGTCGAGAGTGAATGGCCATTGCAATTAGCCGCACTACTAGGACTGCTTTGTTCAATGCAAGAACATGACTAATTGAGATCTCTCCATCGCCTCCCCCGACTTCTGCCTGTTATTATTAACTGTCCTTGTCCATGAATATCATTCTTTTGCTTTGTTGAATCATATTGTTTGAAGATTTATATGGAGGATGTCTTCCTTGTTTTGACTCTTACTGTAGCAGAATAGTTACTGGCTTTTAATTTTGTTTTGTTTTTCTTTCTTTCGTTCTGGGTGAAAGCAGACTCACAAGGATTGTAATGGGGGTTGATGATGGCGCCATTTCTCGAGGGGAGTTGCTGGGGACAACTGTATATAACGGTTCTTCTCCTCTGTTGAAGTTCATCGTCCTTTATATTCATCAGTGAAGAAAGTTTTGTTCCATATCTAGGATTTCGGTCTCGTTTTACCAGTGACGATTATAGTTATTATAAGCACCCCATTTTACTTCTGCAAACATGGATTGTTGGTTGAGCCATTCAATTGTAGAACCATAAGCAAGATAAGAAATGGAATCAGGAATTTCTTGTCTTTGTAAACTATGGCTCGTGTAATTGGAGAGGGTTCTAGTTTCGTTGTGGCTTGACATCGTCGTAGGAGTCGAAAGGACGAATCTTCAAATGACAGTAAGAACTAGTTGTTCTTTTTATTCGTGATATCGTAGTTGTTATATTAAGTATTGCCGTACTAATGGACGTACCAAGTTTGAGCTAACAAGTGACGAGGGCATATTTCAGATTAGCATTGAGTTGAACCCGCATATAAATTGACGACGATCTCTTCCAAATTATTAAACGTCTCATCGTTTACTGTTAGATACCTTCTGGCCTTGCTTGTTTGAACCTGAACTCGGCTTGTTAGGAATGAAGAAGCAATTCATTCAGCAGAAATGGCTCTATTTACCTTCATACTACAAAACAATACATCAGAACAATGAACACCCAACACCTTAGTACTAGCTAAACCACACTCTAAATTCTAACCTTTCCACCATCATAACCTTCTATAAATGACACATCAATCTTATAATGTATAACTCCAAGAACTACCAAAGCAAGAAACTTTGCAGTCAGTCCCTTTCATGGTCGGTCGAGTCGCTTCGTATCAGCAGCTCCCTCCAGCATCATATCTTACAAAACCCATCAGCTCGGGTCCTTCCAGCCTCGAGTTGTTCATGTAACTGCCCAACATCCAAAGTCCAAAAGTAAGAAACTCAGTAATTGGTTAAACAACTCCAGAAAGAAAGTTGCTGTAACCACAAAAAAAAAGCATCAGTAAGAAACTACAGAACCTTTCCTCAGTGAATTTGGAGAAGGATCCTGCAGTTGGGATTGTCCCACACAAGTCATTGTTGGACACATCTCTGCAGTAAACACAAATAAAACAGTAAAGAAAAGGTGAAAACTTTGATCAACCCAGCAGAAAATTTCTGGTACCAATCGTCATACACGTTCATGCTTACAGTATCTTCAGGCTTCCAAGCTTTGTAAGTTCCCTGGGAATCCTTCCACTCAATCTGTTCCCATTCAGCCTTCTACACAACACAAACTAACTGAGAAATGGACACATGAAAAAGGCAGAGTGAAACAGAGTGAGAGCGAGAGCATTACAGGAACTTGAGATTGGAGAGCTTAGAGAGGGAAGAAGGGATGGATCCAGTCAAGTTATTGTGGTAGAGATCCAAGCTCAGTAAGCTCTTCAGGTTGCCCAGCTCCTTTGGTATGGGTCCCATCAGCTCATTCATGTACAGCTCCCTTTTTAATTACATAATAATAAAGTACAATTAAGGTCTTGTCAATGTCAGCCATACTCATACACCTTCCCCAAGTAATTGATTTCAGTGAGTAAGTGGAAAGACAGGGGAAGGACGAAGGAAATAGTTACAGCCTTACAGGTATTGAAGCCGCTCCAACTTCCCCAGTTCTGGAACTAGCTTTCCTGACAGCTTCGCATTCCCAAGGTCCCTGCCTCCCCCATAAAAGTTTCCATTTTTCGGACTATGTTAATGAACCAGAGTCATAATAATAATAATAACATTAATTCATAGCTCTGCTGATACTACAACAGAGCTTTTCCAGAAGTTTCTGTGAAGAACAGCATAGATAAGCTAGGATTAGTGAAGGGAAGTCTTAAATTGACGTACAGGCGGGTGATTCGGTTGTCGGAGTCGCAGGTGACGTGGAACCAAGTACAAGGATCGACCAGGGTTGGATCCCAGCTCTGGAGTTTGAGGCCTGGGTCCTTCACTGCTCTTCTCAGTGCGAACAGAGCATCCCCTGTTTTGATACTAAGTCATTTAAGCAGGCGGAGGAAAACAGGTGAAGGAGGAGAAGGAGGAACTAACCTTCCAGGTTTGCTGTTGCATGTGGAACCATGAGTGGGAGGATTGCAAGGAGGAGATGGAAGAAGCTGAAGGTGTAGATCGCCATGGATGAACTTCTCCAATGAAAGAGAGACTAGTGGAAAAGGGAGTTGTGGGTTGTGATGGGAGGAGTATGAGTATGGTGTTATGGAATGGGATGGGATGGAAGGAAAGAATCAATGAAAGCTAGTAATGGAGGAATTTTTATAGACCCACCCAATGAAAATGAAAAAGAAGGAAACAACTTTTTGTGTTTTCTTCTTTGGGTTCAAGAGGAGAAAGAAAGTGGGAGGAAAGGAAAGGGTTGGTGTCTCATGTTCTGCCCTCTGCCTCTCTCTCCTTTCTCTTTTGAACATTTTCTTCTTTGAACTGAAGTGACTTTCTAGGTTCAAAATTGGGCTTCAGTAGGGTACTTGGTACTATCCACTGTTGGGGGCATGATTTCTATTGGGTCCTTTGCTTCTGTAACTGTAGGAGATGCTGTTACTTTCAACGCTTGCTGGCGTTGGCCATGTTTATAGATGCAGGAAGAAACCATAGAAGGAGAAGGAAAGGAAGAGAGCAACAGAAAATGATGAAAAAACGTGACAGAGAGAGAGGTCACTTGTCCCTGTCCTGTTCAGTTCAGGACCTTTCTCTGCCACCAGCCAGCCCCACTTCCCCCTCAGCTTCAGGACCGTCATTTGTGTTCAAATTAAAACAGTCGCCGGAGATCAAAACGGGAAATTAATCAAACGGGAATTCCCTCTGTTGCTGGGGTTTCTTTTTAGAGACGGAGATGCTCTTTCTTAACAGTTAACACCGAGACGCATTGACGTCATGGTCCACGAAACCGTACAGGAGACAGTATCGAGAAAGTCAGCAGTAGAGTATTTTATAGTAAACCGTGGTTTAACCGTAGTTTAATCGTTGTACCATTAAATACCGCCTACCGGTTTAGCCTCCGATACTGGTATTTCGTGGTTGAACCGTCGGTACGGTACAATTTCATGGACCATGCTTGATGTGAGGGTTAATTTCCAAAATATTGTTTTTTTGTTAATTTATCACCAACATGGCAGTTTTAAGAGTATTGACAATTTGACATACATATTGTGTTTTTGTGTAGGTAAAAGAGCGCGTCCGCCCGAGACTCAGGCGGAACCACTTTTCAAATTTTTTAATTCAAATTGAGTGGACCCACCCGAGTCACAGGTGGGTATGCTAAAAGGGCAGCGGTGGCGCCCGAGACTCAAGTGACCCCACCTTCCTCTTCCTTTTTGTTTACTTTCTTCTTCCACGACTCATATATCTTATCTTCCTCTTCTGCAAACCAACAACCACCATGCATCCCTTCCTCTTCTCGTCCGACCCCCAGCGCCCATGCCGGACAGAAAGACGATTTCGCCACCGCCTCAAGCAGACACGACGAAGACAGAGGCGGCCGCGCCTAAGTCTCAAGCGAACCCGCCATCTCCTTTTTTCTTCCGTCACTCCTCCCAGCATATATGGTGGGCTTTTTTATTTTTATTTGGGGAGTAGATGTTCGACTCGATGAGAAAGCAATCATAATATAAAGCTCTGTAACTAATTTGTATATCGTGACCAATTATAATACCGTGGCAAGTGGCAACGCATATACAGGGAGATGCTCATATAATATGAAAGTAATTGAAGTAAGTGAAATAAAATTCATCAATCTATCAGGTGATAGTTCGATTTCATTCTCTTTTATAAATTTACGATAGTAATTAAGTAATGTTTTGTCGAAGATTGCTAATGTAATTTTCTTTTCTTTGTTGTGGCTTTTGTGATAACTCGTTACCGGTCATCTGACATACTCCGTCGAAGAAAACTACACTCGCTGGCGGGACTATCTTCGAGATGTTGTGTTTTTGTTTTTGTTTTTTTTCCCGTCAGTGTCGTGTCTTTGCTCCTCGGAGCTTCTTCAGAGCTGCCCAAGTAGTGGCTTAACAGGCTCTTTCATCGGTAGTCTGGTTGCATACGGACTAACGTCCAGTATTTGAGTTGGTCTTGTAATCGTGTCGAGTCTTTGTCCCATGCCCTTTGGGCTTGCCTTGGATAAAAAAAAAATGCATTGATCACCAATTCTTTTCTGAACACCACCTCATAGCACTGCATGTAGTGCATAAAACCCATCACTATCAAATCTCCCATTGATTCACACCTCCTTAGTTTACAAAATTTATTTGACGGAGATAAATCAAGCATTGCCTGAGTTGATCGAAAGTGTAAAAGAGTGGAAATTTCATTTCGGTCGACGGTCAAATGTGGGGTAGAGAAGAGGAGGGGTGAGAAGTTGGTTAGCTCCTCCACCTTTACACTATGTTTGGCAACAAGGGGGTACAAGTTCGAGAGGGTGCAAATTGAGGGGTAAATTGTTGGGGGTGCAATTTGGTGGAGGGTGTAAATGGAGGGGTAAATTGTTGTTTGGATGAAAAAGTAGGGGGTGCAAATAAAGTAAAAAGTAAGTAATTATATTATTATAAAATAGATTTATCAATTTATAAAATATTATCATAAAATAATAACATGAAAATTCAATATATAATAATAATAAATAAAAATAAAAATAATTTTAATAAAAATAATTATTATATAATAATGCTCAAATATAATTATTTATAACAACAATAATAATCATTGGTCGAGCAACCTCGAAACTCAAAATCCAACTCGTAACTGGTCATCCTAAAGAGGTTCTCGTACCTAACTTTAAATTGAATATGGTCAAACTTAGTCAAACACGTTCGAATCTGTAAGTTTTAACTACTTATTAAAGTACATCGAGTTAACAAAACTGTTCCTCTCTATCTTTTCAACAAACGCTTCTTATCTCTAATTTTCAATGCTAATTCGGGTCAACTAAGAGATATCGATTTGACTAGGCGAACATTGACAAACTTGCTCTCTGAGTCAAATGGTCAACCCCAAACAACTTCTACACTAATATAGATATAAGAAAAAATTAATAATATTAATTATTATGTAATTATAATCTAATTAAAAATTCATAATTCCCCTCCTCCCCCTTCCCCCTCCCTTCCTTCCTTCCCTTGCACCCCAATTTGGGGGGTAAGCCGAAATAGTGAATTTACGCTCACGTTTTGCACCCCCCTACTGTTACAAAATAACCAAACGGGGGTAAACACCTTGGAACTTGTGTTTACCCCCAAACTTGCACCCCCTTCCATTTACACCCCTTACCAAACATAGTAGCTTATATTAAAATGTGAGTGATGATCAAAATTTGAACCGATTTGACTTTGCTTGTTGGTGCACGTTTAGTCATAAAGATCGACGGCTTCATATTAGTGCATGGCAGATGGCACTTGAGAAGAAGCAAACAACTTTTAGACGATCTTGGATTGCAAATCATTAGAAAGTTGGTTGCTTTTCCCCCCTTTTAATCTCCTCAAAAGAAGCGGATTGACCAAAGCCAAAGCCAAAGGAATGATTGTCAATTCAGTTTCTTTTCTTTTTCTCGTTAATTATGAATCCTTTTCCTTTCTTTCAAATTTCAATCATGGTAGAATTCGAAAAGGTGGGCTCAATTCTTAATTTGCCATATTCAGTAGCTTTTGTATGTGATTTGCTACAAAAGAATTTGGAAGTTTGTGAAATGAACTCCACTTGATTTTATTGGTGTTTCAATTTGTGCTAATCAGCCACATGGGGGGTTTTTTTTTAATAGGCAGCCACATGGTTATAGTTAAGTATGCATTGTAGTTTTTGGCTTGGATCACAATGTTTGTAAATTTGATTTGGATTTGTCTTTTTGTGTCAATCTTTAATTGGGTTGAACATTACACCAAATTACAAATGATTTCTCTGTTTGTGAGCAAATGAGAGCACAAGTGCGTCAACACACTAACATATCAACCTGACCCTAACCCATCATTAGAAATATAGGTTACTCCGGTTTATGCGATAAAATCTCAACCTAATTAATTTTTAGTTTTTACGTAGGGATGAGAGTTGTTTTATGCTTATTTGGTGGATTTGGAACCATCCATTACTTGGTGGATGAAAGGGAAAATGACTCACATTCAACTGATTCACCTATGTTCGTACTCATGAATGGCTTGGGTGATCATTGTGGATGATGGGTAGTTGGATGATTTCTGCGGGTTTACAACACACATTCCAAAATGCCATATAATTTATATTGTTCTAAAATTTTTATGTTCAAACTAAATAATGTTTAATTCGTAAATCAAATGCATCATTTAGCTTACAATATTACTGCACTAGTAATTGTTCACACATCATAAAAATATTTAAATGATTAAAATTGTCAAAGTCTAATCATAAAAAAATAAAAAAACAAAGATGAAGTTCATCATAAGTCTAGCTAACTGTCCAACTCTCGAGCCACAATCAATTATCGAACACTCCTGAAATGAACAATATAAATAGCCAAATTAGTATACAAACAAGAAAAAATTAACAATGAATGTAGAAGGAAGTAAGCATATGATTTTTATTTCTAACCATAAAAATAAATTAGACTTCACAATTATCCTTTATAATCATAAATTTGAGAAGATATTCATTCATAATTGGAAAAGAAAAGGATATGTGGAGATTTGAGAAGATTTTGTTATCAAGATGAAGGAGAATTTTTTATGATTTTTTGAAATTTAGTAGTTAAAGTTATAGGTTTGAGGTTTAATTGTTTGAGATTAAAAAATTGGTTGGATCTTGGATCAATTACCGTCCATCCACGTCCACCCAAATTTTAGTGATCACATATTTTATAACACTCATACACATCCATAAAAATTCCCCATTACATAATGGAGAGGTTAATTGTGAATGGATTTGAGTGGATGGTTAAACCACCCAACAACAATCACCCTACTTTTACAGCCTAGTTAAAAAAACACCAAAAAGTTAAACAAACAAATAGAAGCAGTTTGGACGAAGCGTGACGCATGGTGGCTCGGGCCGGCCAGATCGGTTGGACTTTCGTTAAAGCCTTATAGGCCTATGGGCCATGGTTTATTTACCAGCAAACTGAAATGGCTGGCCCAACGCTCCCATCCTGCTTATTTTCTAGCAATTGTTAAGTCCAACAACCAACACGTCTCTCTAGGCCCACTTGACCATGAGCCATAGAGAAAACGATTTTTTTCCACATAAAAATGGATAGGGACACTTGCCAATTATTTTGATGACAGATACCAAATTAGGGATGTTAAAAATATCCATGTACGTGGATATCAACCTGAATACGACCTAGTTGGGTAGGGATAAATTGGAATCTAAATTTTTTTTGGTGGGTATGGATAAAACACGGATTCAAATATTGAGAGTAACGTGAAAACCTGTTTTTCTAACTATCCAACCCGTATCTAACCGATTATACATATGTGGAAGTATTTAATCTAGAAATGGACTTTATTTTTCATCATATTTGATATTTTCTACACATATATAATATTTAGATGACTTTATGTTCTCTTCAACTAATTTTCTTCGTTATAATGATTTGTTGTTGCACATTTCACTTATGCATTGTCAATATACATGTACTTGTTAACAAGTTTGATGAAGTTATGAAGAAAAATTATTATCCATCGTTATCTGAAACTTGATCTGGCATGAAAATGGTTTTGATTTTCTACCTGATTCTTGCGTGAGTATGAGTACAGGTAAAAACTGAACTAGTTTGGTAGGGTAATGGATATGCACTGACTCATTTTGTTGCCAACTTGCCATACATAAACCAAATGGTTCGGAAATGAGCTGGTTTACTCACGAGCTACTTGATGCCTAGCTCACAAAACTCAGATGGACACACGGCTCGTTGAAAATGAGCAAGCTTGATAGTTTAGCTAGCGAGCCAAATCAAAGCTTGACTATAGTGGTTTATGAGTGAACTGGTTTATAGATAATAAGTTTACTTGTTGAGATTGATAGGTTTGTTAGATTATATAGTTCACAATATATGGGGTTCAAGACTTGGTCACTTAACCAAATATGTCTCATTCATAATTTGAGAGGAATATTATGTATTATGGATTGCTTAAATACTACTTATTATTAAATAACATGATACAGATAGTAAATTTTTTATGAACTAAATAATATGATACTAATAGAGTATATAAATGTAGGATCAATTAATGATAAACAGTGTATAACATTTTTTTTATCATATTATTATGTATCATACATTACATAAAGATTAGAATGTTTAATTTATAAATAATTTTAGAGTTTAATTTAGGAATTCAAATATTTAGACTCATAAATGAGTTGAGCTGAGATGAGTTGAGCTGAGTTGAACTCTTGAGCTAATTAATGAGTCTAGTTTGAGTACAACTCATCAGCTCATTAATCAGTTGAGCTCGAGCCGAGTTTATGTAAAGGTTCAGTAAAGAATCTATGCTCAGGCTTGACTCTTTTTTTAATTAGCTGACCCAAATTAGGTTAAGACTCAAAACTTATTTACGCTTGACTCGTTTGCATTCCTATTCACATTCCACTTTCAGGTGCATGCTAGTGGTCTGGTTTCGTGGTGCGATCCAGTTATGGTTTGATCTGTACTTCAAATTCAAATTTAAGGAAGAACCACTATTCATTTTAATGTATATAATTTATTTCAATGAAAAATTGATCTTAGATTTTTATTTACGGATTGGCCGCTTTAGAATAAAAATATTTTTAAAATATAGTTTTAAATCTTAATAGTCACTTCTCAAAATCCTATCACTATTTTGTTTTGAAACGTATTATTTATTTTCCCATAAACTACCATTCTATTGATATAAAATACATAACAAGCATATCCTTAATCCATGAACTTATTTAGGGTTAAACCTAAACACGATTTGGGGCCGTGATAATGCTGGTATCTCGAATCCTTACATTGATTGCTCCTCTTGCTCATTCTTCTACATACCCAAGTCGTAATTCTTGAAGGGACATAATGGTAAATTTGAATGATTTACACTACATACTACATGAGAGTTTAATATAGTGATTGCATTGACACGATGAGTTATGCTTAGGAATTTTATGTTGGTGAATATGATGAATGTCTAGCAATTAACATGATAAACAGAGTGTAAAAAAATATGATAAACGGAGGATATAGAAAGTTCATATCAAAATGATTGTGAATGATTGATTATTGTATGCTACAAGGTAATGCTTGCCCCAAAATTGTGATGATATAGATTATGATATGTGAATCTCATACATGTGGATGCAATTATCATTATTGGGCATGATGAATTAATGATATGTGAAGTGTTAAAGTAAGCACATCAAAATGATTTGTTAATCACTATGATGTTGTGATGGAATGTGCTTCATGCATGTGATTGAAGTATAGGTTGAAATAACGTACCATACAGGACGATTGAACCGAAAAAATTGGAAACAGTATCAAACCCGAACGATATAAGCAAAAGCTCCAATGTGGTGTACCTCAATCAGTTTGAGGTTGAGCTTAGAATACTGCAAAACACCGTATCGATTTTGGTCCGATCGATCAGTGAATATATTCAAAAAATGGTCCACCAAGGTGTTGTGAGATCGACCAAGGATCCAACAAAATCGAAAGAGAACCATCATGGTTACCCTGTTGGTTGTTGGATTACCGGAACTAAACAGGGGAAATGACGCGCGCGAGGTGAAATTGGGGGTAATATGAAGGTAGAGATCCTTCTAGTCCTAGTTGAACATGTAGATGAGGTTGTGCTCGCTGAAAAGCTTCGTGCCGAACGAATTGTTGACGAATTTGAAAGCATCACGTCAGACATTAGAGAAATTAAGTTGCTGAAATTGGAGTCGCGGATGTAGAGAATGAAATTGTCGACTTTATAGTTGGTAGAGTAGCCGAGGGATGCATTGAAGGCCGTCTGGGCATCCGAGAATTTGGTTGGGTTCGTGACAACGGAGATAACGCCACCTGGGAGAGGGAGGACGAAAGTAGGCCGGGGGAGTTGGCGTTTCTTGAACTTGTAGGAGATTTATTCGATTTGGGCGATGATAATTTTTTTTTATGCCGGATGGTTCAATTGGTGGATTTGGATTGCAAGGTTGGGTCTTTTGATGGGGTGACGTGGCGAGTTTTCTGACAGAGCGGGTCAAGTTTTGACTTTTTGGTTAAATTTGGGTGATTCATAATTTCTTTCAACCCCTCATCGAAATCGTGGCAGAGATAACACAATCGAACGAAAGTTGATGGTTAGTGATCAGAATTGAAATGATGATTTAATTATAGTGATCAGTGAAGTTAAATTTTTTAAGCGAAAAAATATAAAACAATATAGTAAATGCAATAAACATATTTAGTCTCATTTTAAAGATAAAGTTTCACATATTCCTCCTTTAATTAGGGAACATATTCTTTTCCCTTTAAAAAAGGAAAAAAGTTGCCAAGTTTCAACATATTCTCTTTCAGGAAAAGTCCAAAGACATCTTTTTTATTTGCATGAGTCCAAATACACATATTTTTATATAAATATCTTGTACGCTTAACCTACTTTATTTGCTGCTAATTTGTTTTTCCTTTATATAAAGCAGGAGCCCGGGATCGTGTGGTTGTTTCTTGTTTCAGTGCCCACAGCCAAGAAACAGAGAGTTATTCGCCTCTTCGAAATCTCGGTCTTTTGGGCAACTCATAAGGGCAGAGGAGGGAGATTTACCCACATGGCCCAAGAGACTGCATCAGTGCCCACTGATTTGCCGGTGAAAAGGCCGAGGGAGGAAGAGCAAAACGGTGCTTCTGCAACCGGCGGAGCCATGGAAACCGAGAACAGTACTGATAATGGGACTCCTGGTATTTCGTCCGTTATTCCCGGCTGGTTCTCCGAGATTAGCCCAATGTGGCCAGGTACGTTCGACTTCCAGTTTCTTCTCTCCTTCCTTCATGTCTGTACCTTGGGAATATATATATGGGTGGAAGCCTGAGATGGGAGATTGGACTGTTCGTCGCCCGTCGAATCGCGGGTGTTCGGTTTTGTATTGTGATTGATTTCAGGGTCTGGTTTTATATCCCTATTCAGAGTTTTTTTAAGATTCATGTTTCGTTTTTTGGCTGCTATCTCTTCTTGTCATTGGAAAGTTAAGTGCAATACTGCAATTTGACCCATATGCCTATCTTCACCTGCATGTAAAAGTTCAAGTTCACCGAAGCACTATCATCTGCTTGGGATTCTAGTGAGAACCAGGCAATCAGCCGTTTGCTGGAATTGATTCTGTTTTCAAGTCCCAGCAAAATGTTATGTGCCCTGTCTTGTTCCATCTGTTTTTGCATGCTTTGCCTGGTGCTACACTTGTTCAATGGCTTTCAATTTGAAGGCTTTATTTGATGTGGATTTCCATGCTTCTGTTGGGAACTTGTGTTGGTCGTTGACACGCTTGGATTTGGGTATCTTCAGGAGAAGCACATTCTTTGAAGGTGGAGAAGATCTTGTTCCAAGGGAAGTCTGACTATCAGAATGTTATGGTGTTTCAGGTACTATTGTGTATCCATTAATCATGTGCCTAGTGTTTCCCTCTGTGTTTATGATGGTGCTAAAGAAAATGCTGTGTGGGTTTTGCTTTTGCAGTCTGCAACGTATGGAAAGGTTCTGGTTTTGGATGGAGTGATCCAGCTCACAGAGAGAGATGAATGTGCATATCAAGAAATGATCACTCACCTTCCACTGTCCTCAATCCCCAACCCTAAGAAGGTAAAGGATTTGAAAATTTTACATTGAAATTCTCACTCTTATATAAAGGGAAAAAGAAGAAATGTTTGATTTGAACTGCATGATGCACCTCTCTGCTTTTGTAGTCCTAGTAATGTTCATTTAGAAAAGTTTTAACCACTGCTTGTGAACCAAATTCAACCACTCTCCTGTTTTGCCTCCCATGATCTGCATAACTGCATTATATCTGTTAAGTACCCTAACAAGATAAGAGCCTTCTCGTTTTAGTGATCAATACCAGTAGTATTTTGGTGCAATGCCCCTTGTACTTGGAACCAGTAAGCTCATTCTGCAGAATTTTTCTTTATCTTAAAATGATTTAGTTGCCTCTTTGGGGGTATGCGTTCCCTTTTATGTTCAAGGAATTTGGTGTTCTGAGACTATGTAGTGTAAAAGAAAGCCTCTTATAATTTTGTTCTTAACTTTTGGCTTCAGGTTTTGGTTATTGGTGGAGGAGATGGTGGAGTCTTGAGGGAAGTGGGTCGGCACTCTTCTGTTGAGCAGATAGATATATGTGAAATAGATAAGATGGTTGTCGATGTAAGTATGACTTTAAAGCTTTATTGCTATTTGTGCCAGATCTCCCTGTAAATCTCTTAGGTTTTCGCCAGCAGTATGATTAATCTCATTGGTGAAATTTCATTCAGTATTTACTGATACTAGTTCATTGAATCATGGCTTCCTCTCCGAAAGGCTTAGAATCTGATCTTATTGAACTGTCCTACACAGCGAACACTGTATTCATGTTGTATGTGCTGTGCTGCTATGCCCTTTTTCTGCAGGTTTCTAAACAGTTCTTCCCTGAAGTAGCAATTGGATATCAGGATCCCCGTGTGACTCTGCATATCGGTGATGGTAAGAGCACAATTTCATGATCTTATACTTATCTTTTTACATGATTTATTTTTATTTTCCAGCTATTTATGTTATGTTTTTCTCTTGCAGGAGTTGCATTTCTGAAAGCTGTTCCTAAAGGGACCTATGATGCAGTCATAGTAGATTCTTCTGACCCTATAGGTACTGTACCATCTTCATTCTTCACTTAATAAATATCAAATGTTCAAATTGGGAAAAAATAAGATTGATCTCAACACGTTTTCACTTCTTCGCTCTTCAGGACCTGCACAGGAGCTGTTTGAGAAGCCTTTCTTCCAGTCAGTAGCAAATGCTCTTCGTCCAGGGGGAGTTGTGTGTACTCAGGCGGAAAGCATATGGCTTCATATGCACATCATTGAAGATATTGTGTCAAACTGCCGCCAAATCTTCAAAGGCTCCGTCAACTACGCATGGACCACTGTCCCTACTTATCCAAGGTATATTATGATACATATGAATCATATAGTCAGCTCTGTTTGATTCCTTTTTCTTTGTCGTTGTGTGGCATTTGATCTGACAGCATCCGGATGTTTTATGCTTGCCTTCACCTGCAGTGGCGTGATTGGTTTCATGCTTTGCTCTACTGAGGGTCCCTCTGTTGATTTCAAGAAACCAGTGAGCTCAATAGACACCAGCACCGACTATAACAAAGCAAGAGGGCCATTGAAGTTCTACAACCCTGAGGTCTGAGTTCCCTCTCTATTCTATAAACATTAATGGTTGCTGAGAGAAGGCTATTTCTTTCAAACTAATTGCTTCTGTTGCTCTTTCCAGATTCATACCGCTGCTTTCTGTCTGCCAGCCTTTGCAAAGAAGGTAATCGATGCAAAAGCAAAATGAATCTGAGTTCTGAAAACCAAGGTGGTGGCTTGTCATTGCTTCGACCAGTAGAGCGCATAGTTTCGACCTTCATCCTTGGTGAAACTTAGGCATCTGTTTACGAGCCATGGAATAATTAGAGTTTTTCTCGACATCTTTATGTTGAATTTATGGTTTTAATCTGGAAGGTGTTTTGACTTTTTTGCTGTATCCGGAATATGCAGAATTCTAGCAGGCAATAGAGAACTAACTCCCTAGTTATCATACATACTGCATACAGTTCTTTCACTTTTCACTTTTCCCTTTTTGGTGTTCTGCTCTGTTTCCACATGCTATCCGTGCCTTATGCCGTAAGGCAAGGGGCTTCCATCCCATGGTTGTTGATTGATAGTTGATACATTTGCTTTGAAATAATAGAAGTACAGGTTCGAATTCTGCGGGCAAAAGCAAAGCACTACTGTCTAGTCCTCCAAACCGAAATACAAAACAACCACGAAGAACAACCTTTCTCAATCCATACAACACCTCTTTCACTTGGTCTCACACATGTTCACCATCAATCTTCTTCTCCAGAATCCGCCTCTTACAGTCAAAGAAGTAGACAGCACAAACCACCCACTTGATCACATTCCCTACACAAATCAACACCGTGCCGAGGAAAGCCAGCAGAAACCCTACATGATTCCCCACAACAGACCAACCTCCAAAGAGGCAGGGCAGCCTCAGTACCACTCCCCAAGCAAAGAAAACAAACATAAGCATCCCACCCCTGAACTGGCTCCCCCTTGTGAAGTAAGCCGAGACCTCGAACGCCTCGTTCCCATACTCCTCCCCGAGGATCGAAACCACCACGCTCGCGTTCCATCCGCCGCTCCACTCCACGTACTTGCTCAACAAGGCAACAAAGGCCACTCCATGAACCCCAATTATTGCAGAATTCCGCAGCAGGCTCACTCCAGACCCGTAGTAGTAGTAGTCGTGGTCATAATAGTAGTAGTGGTGAAAAGGGTTGTCGAAGAGCTTAATGACGAAGAAACAATTGGCGGCAATCCAGAGCAAGCCGAGAAGTGTGGAGGCAGAGAGCAGGACAGAGTACATGAAAGTGATGAAGGGGCCTTTGATCCCGTTTCGGCATAAGGGTCTCCTGAGGAAGTCCCTAAGGTTGCTCCCTGACAGGTTCTCCCCGTCGTAGAGCCGTGTGGCCATGTCGACCGTTGTGGCTACGCTGAGGAATTGTAGGAGGTGGTAAGGTACCAGGTAGAGGAGACCGAGCTGGACGAGCTTCGAAAAGGCGGTCTGGATCTGCTGAGAGTGCCATAGGGAAGCGTAGATTTGGAGGACGGATTGCTGGAGAGTGAGGTTGAAGAAGAGCGAGAAGCAGAAGAAAGGGAAGGAAGTTAGTGCAGAGAAAATGATGAACCTGATGCTGTTGAAGGGGAGGGAGAGAGCTTCCTGGAGTATGTCCAGGAATTCTAGCTTGGATGTCAGCATATCCATGTTCAGGGAAATGAGTTAGCGACTCTGAGATATCGATCTATGAACCTAACTAATTTCTGTGTGGTGTTGGTGAAATGGGCGATGATGTTGGAGTGGAGGTCGTGACTTTTCTTTGGGAGTAGACTTGAAAGCTTATGCTGTGGAAGACTTTGACATTTCGACCTACTGGGGAATAGTTTGTCGTTCTCAATAATAATCGTCTTTGAGCAAGAGAAATAGGAATAAGTTATTATTTTTGTTAGAGAAAAATGGATAGGGTGCTGGCATCATTCATTAAAGGTATTGACTCACGTTTAACTACACACTTACTTATAGAAGGTCAAGTCTAACTTACGACCGAGTGTAGTATAGAGAAAGTATATTTCAATTATTAAATCCGAGGGGTTTATCTATCCTTACTTATGCAAACTACAAGTTATCTAGCGGTAGAAACATTGCTTCAAGCTATTAAACTAAATAAAAAACAACTAAGTTGCATTCAAGTGAGAAGACTTCTCTCGAATGATTATCCCCTAGTCATGTGTTGAGACGATGATATGATACTCTAACGTGATTTGCATATTACATAGACCGTTAGGAGATCAAAGTTAGTTTAGTCAATTAGGGCAACAAGATCAACTCACTCGGGAGATGACCCGGAAAGGCGTAAAGAAAACATTCACCCTCGTTCATGGCTCTGTATGATGATTGAATAGTGACCCAAATTGCTATAAGGATATCTTCTCTCTCTTAGGTCAATTTGCCCCAAAATTGAGGAAATTGATAAAGGACACTCAATTTTCATGATAAATACTCATATCAATATATAATTAAACATGCCAATCACTACATAGAGTTCACAATCATGAATCTACAACATACTAGACTAGGGTTCACATTATCTAAGTGAAAACAGAAACTACTTCATAACTAGAGAAAGAACAACAACTAGAAAAGAGGGAAAACTCATGGAAAGTTGATTCTCCTTCTTCCTAATTGCTTGGATTGGTGTTTGGAGATGAAATATGGCCTCCTTTGGTCTTGGGTAGGCCAAATCCACCTTCAATTCTTCTTGGTTCGTAGCTTTCTCTCGAGGTTGTGGAAGAAGAAACAATGCTCACTCTAAAACCCTTCTCCCCTTGAAATCTGATCTCCTTCTCCATTTATACCTGACAATGCGCGTTTCACGGTCGATCTTCACGTTTGTGATGTGTGCAGTGAAACCGTGATGTCAGTGCGTGCAAAATGCACCAATTCACTTGCACACTTCACTCGACTCAATGCCTTGAGCAAGTGATCCTCGCACCGCCCGCAACACGTCCGAAAGATCTTGGAACTTTGCAAGCTTCACGGTCTCCTGCCTGTGACGATCTCCTCTAAACACTGATCCATGAAATTTTCAACACTTTGTCCCGTTTAAGATCCCTTTCGTCCTACTTTCGATCCTTTCAACGAATTCACCTGCTATGGCCTGAAACATACTAAACCTTTCCAAAACCTAGCTTAAAATGACTCCAACATGATAAACAAGTCAAGCGACCAAGTAAAAGGGGTAAAAACATGTATAGAATGGCTCAAATCAAACTCTCCCACACTTAGTCATTTGCTTGTCCACAAATAAACCTAACTCACACTAGTGCAACATGCAAGAAACTCTCAATGATATGCACTATAGGTTGTTGGTAGTACCTCAAAGACAATCGAAAAATGAGAAAATGTTACATCTCTACGTGACAATACAAACTCTCGGATGAGGACCTTGTCTACTAAATAGATTTAGATCCTTCACGCATGCACACAGGGACTATCAAGAAAACATGAAAAGCACTAGACTCCATGATGGTGCTCCTACTTGTTTTTGAAAAGAGGGCTCAAACTTTCGAGCCTCAACTTAACATTGTTGCACATGGCACCACACTTGTATTTTGCAAACAAGGCTTCTCTCCATCTTGGCTAAGAGCAAAAGTATATTGACTTCTCTCAATCACCGATTCCCAGCCTGCACTCCGGTCTCAACGGCAGACGAGTTGCCACACTTGTGAGGTACAAAGGAGAGCAGCGGTTTTCCCGACTTGCGTAGAGTCACACTATCTCCTCTCATACAAGTCCCCTGAAGAGGAGAGGTGTTAGGGGGATGGAAGGTAGAAAATTGATGATGGTTAGACGCTAAATGCTATTTTATCTCCACACATATCCTCAAATGTACTAATGTTCTATTTTATGGTGATGCACAAGTCATTATTCAGGTGATCAGGACGAAGGACTCAGAGCACGCGATGAGAAGAGCTATCTTGCAAGAGATTCAGGTGCTACGCTCATCATTTCAGCGTGTCTCGTTTCATTTCGTGTCGCGTAGGTATCACAAGTAGAGGTGGCAATTAGGATACAAATTTATGAATCTAATCCATAGCATTCACTAAATAATCCATCTAACCCACTCCATTTAAATCCAATCCATTTGATCAAAATTCAATTGGATTGGTGGATTCAAGGATTGATCCATGAATCCAAATGACCAATTACGGTTTAGTGCCTACACTTTTTATATTTGACACTTTGATACCTAAAAGTTATTTTGTAATACGAAAAGGGTTAATTGCAAGTGTGGTCACTGGAATTACTGAAAACGTTCATATTTGGTCACTAAAAATATTTAATTCCATTTGTGATCACTAAGATTAGTTTAACATTCCATTTTTGGTCACTGTCCGTTAGTCTCCGTTATCTTTCGATAACAGAGTTAGTTTTTTGATGACGTGGCTAACAGACATATTGAGTCACCTAATTTTAATAATAAAAAAATGAAACCTAACCCGACACGACACCAAACCTGCCATGTCACCAAAACATGCCCAACACGTGACCCAACCCTTCCCATTCCATGACCCAACCAACCCTTTATCCTCCACCTCCCCGTGCGACTGAACAGAAGGCCGGCCATTACTAGGACTCTGCGACATCTCTCTCTCCAATCACCCGACTCGCCGCCGTTCACCTTCCCGATTTCAACGCATCTCTCGTCGTCGTCTACCAAGGGTGGATTGGGGAGGAACATTGCTGATGATGTTGGTGGGCAATTTGGAAAGAAGAGTCGATGAACATGTCGGCGGAGCTGTAGAAAGCAATGGGGGAAGCATTATATTTGATTTGAATTTCGCCCCTGCTCATCGCCTACACCGTCGTTGCGACCGTCAACCTCACCACCGCTGCGGGCGTCAATTCTCAATCTTCTTCGTTCTGACACTCACTTATCCCTTACTATCCCAGTCCTTCACGCCGGACACCCTGACTGGCAGATCTTGGTATGGCTCAATGATTTTCTCGACCCTTCATCTTCCTACCCTTCGATGACCGTCTTCCCATCGAGAAACCCTGGCGAAGCTGAGAAGCCCCGAGGTTCAAGAGAAGGAGCAAGAGAGCCCTCGCTAGCAGTCGATGCAACCTTGGTGACATCTCCTCCGCCGCCTTAATCTCCTGCCCGATTCGTGCCAGATTCGTGCTATTATCCACGAAAACAAGAGCTCCAAAACGGCACAATTTCGAAGCGCTGCGCCGAGGGTTTCCTCTTCAGGCGGTATTGTGAGGCTTATTGAAACAATAGAGAGAGAGAGAGAGAGAGAGAGAGAGAGAGAGAGAGAGAGAGGTAGACGTGGAAAAGTTTGTCACTAGTGGAGGAACTGAGGGCAGGGCCGCCTCAAATGAGGGTGTTGGCGGCGAGGTAATAGTCGTAATGAAAGGATTGTATATTGGCGTGGATCTGTGTTACTGAGGATTGAGGAAGGAGGAAAGGGGATGGAGGCGGCAGTGGGGCTTTCTTGGTTGCGAGTTGCGACGGAGAGGGGAAGGAATGAGGGTTTGGTTAGAAAGTGTAAGATAATTAGTGGGTTTGATTAGGAAGGTTGGGTCAATTATGGGTTGATATGGCAGGTTTCTAACGTGACGGGTCGGGTTTTATTTTTTTCGAATTAAAATTGGGTGACTCAATATGTCTGTTAGCTACATCAGCAAAAAACTAACGCCGTTAACGGAAGATAATGGAGACTAACGGAGAGTGACCAAAATTAGAATGTTAAACTAATCTTAGTGACTACGAATGAAATTATATATTTTTAGTGATCAAACATGAACGTTTTAGTAATCCGAGTGATCAATTTTGCAATTAACCCAATACGGAAAAATATCATTGAAATGAAACCTTGCTTGTGAGACTCGAGGATTTGAACCTCACCCGCATCAGCCACAGCGGACAGCTTGCTTATCGAAGTAATCAACCAGCAGACTCTGCTCATCAATTAGAGATAACGTTATTATTTAAAAGTTCCTTTTGCTTCTGGATTCTGCAACTGATTTTCCTGCCCCTTTCTCCTTTTCCGGTCCTCTGCTGTTTTCTTATCCATAATAGTATAATACCTCTCTGTCTCTCTCTCTCTCCAATCAAAACCGGCAACATCGGGCCTTGCCTGGTTGGTTGCGGCATGTTGAAACCCGCCTATTAAAACAAAGAGGTAAAAAAGAAATCTTTTTTCCTTTTGGTGAAAAGAATGAAATCGTTAGCTGCCTTGAAAATGAATGAAATCGGCCAATCCACGTGCTGCAAACATTCTTACTGACCCTCCCAACTCCACAGCCTAACAAACTTACTTCTCCGAGCTCAGCTCACTGATGATCCTTCCGACGGACTGAGTGCGAGAATTGGAACTGAAAAACGGCCAAAGATTGGAGCTTTTTTCAATCTTCGTCGTTGGTTTCTGTAGGGTGAAAGAAGATGGAGGACGAAGGAGGAGATAGGATTGAAGAGAGCAGTGTGCTAATGGGGAGCAGTAGTAGGAAAGGAAGCGGGGGAGGGGACTGGAGATGGGTTGATGGCAGTGAAGTAGATTCAGAGTCTCCTCCTTTGTCTTTACTTGATGGTGGTGGTCATAATGGAAGTGGAGGGTACGGCACTGTGAGGAGGAGGTTGGTGAAGAAGCCCAAGAGAGTCGACTCTTTTGATGTTGAATCCCTGGAAGTTGTTGGGGCTCATACCCACCACAACAAGGTAAACAAAAGCTGCTTGCTTTTCCCCTTTCCTCTTTTTTTTATCGGGTTCTTATTCTGCTTGCTCGAATCGGTCATCTTTCGACTTAGATTTTGAGGTTCTGTGGTTCACAGAAAGCTGGAAAATTCAGTAATCCACTACGGTAAAGCTATGTAGTAATAGTGCAGGCCAAAACCAGAATTAGGTAGCGTTGTAGATTGCTTGACATCACTTGAAGCATTCGGATCATTTGAAGTGTAATCTGTTGCTGAACAAGTTGTTTTTTCTTTGTTTTTGTGGGAATCAGAAGTTCTCCCCTGGCCTGGTTCTGTCCAGTTTTGCATAATCTAGTGTTAAATGGGCAGATTAGGGGAATGGCTAACTGTGTAATAGTGCCAGATGAGAGTGAGGGTACAGCTTCCCTTGCTAAGTTGTGTGCTCTTACTATATCAGGACATCTCCACTTGGGCCACGGTTGCATTGGCCTTTCAAACGCTTGGTGTGGTCTACGGCGACATGGGGACGAGCCCCTTGTATGTCTTTACTGATGTGTTCAGCAAGGTTCCCATTGAGTCTGAAGTTGATGTGTTGGGGGCCTTGTCAACAGTAATGTACACAATTGCTCTCATCCCCTTGGCAAAGTATGTCTTTGTGGTGCTGAAAGCAAACGATAATGGTGAAGGTTAGTTTTAGTTCCTGTTTGGAGGATTCTTCTTTCTACTACCGAGCGCGCATGGTTCACACACATAATGCTTTTGGTGGCAGGAGGAACTTTTGCTCTCTACTCACTGATCGCCAGATATGCTAAGGTTAGCATGCTGCCAAATCGTCAGCCAGCTGATGAACTAATCTCGAGTTTTAAGCTGAAGTTGCCTACTCCGGAGTTAGAAAGGGCTTTGCACATTAAGGAGATCCTGGAAACAAGGCGCTTCCTGAAAACACTCCTCTTGCTTTTGGTTTTGATGGGAACTTCAATGGTCATAGGAGATGGTATCCTCACCCCTGCCATATCAGGTGCACTGTATAGATGTGAAAGTGGAGACTGTCTGATTGAACCAAAATCTGTTGTATCATTTTATGAGATCTTCATACGATGCTAATGATGACATTTGCCTGTTGCAGTGATGTCCGCCACAAGTGGTCTTCAGGGTGAAGTATCTGGATTTGGTACAAGTAGGTACCTTATTTTCTCTTTCAATCTGCTCTTCGTGTTACATGTGTCCTATTTCACCAATTTCAACTGCAATCCTGAAAAAAGAACTGAACAAGATGAGTATAGAAGAGTCATTTTAAGCTTCTTGTCTTTCACTTTTCCCTGAACTTACTACTCACCTCAGATCGAAGAATGATTTGATCACAAAAATGACTATAATCTGGATGCCCATGGTTGCAGATGCTGTGGTTTCTGTTTCAATTGTTATCCTCTTGGCATTGTTTGGGATACAGCAGTTTGGAACAGGCAAAGTGGGCTTTATGTTTGCTCCCATACTCGCCTTATGGTTCTTCTCCTTGGGCGCCATTGGACTGTACAACCTAGTGACATATGATATCTCTGTCCTAAGAGCACTAAATCCAGCTTATATCTACTTTTTCTTCCAGAAGAATGGGGTTGCTGCATGGTCGGCCCTTGGTGGCTGTGTATTGTGCATTACAGGTAAATTAATGACAAACTCTTCTCTGCAAAGTTATGGGCTAAAAAACAATCCCATTCTGAGTTGAAGGGTTACTCACACGAAGGCTTGCCTTGTCTTGACTGATGACAAGCACATTTTGGTTGCAGGCGCGGAAGCAATGTTTGCAGATCTGGGGCATTTCTCTGTAAAAGCTATACAAGTTCGATTCTCAAACATTTTCAACTCTTTGGTTCCTTGTCCAGAGCTTGCACATTTGGTTTCCTTATCTTATGCATTCTTGCTTGACAGATTGCTTTCACCTTTGTGGTGTTCCCTTGTCTTCTGCTTGCTTACTTGGGTCAGGCTGCATATCTAATGAAACATCCTGATTCTGCAAGTAGAATATTCTACAATTCAGTCCCAGGTGACAAATTAAACATAATGGACATTTCATGTCCATTTGTTATTTTCCCTTTAGAAAACTATCCAAGTTTCTAACACCACATGTCTGAAATGAACAGAAAGCCTATTCTGGCCAGTCTTTATATTAGCCTCCTTTGCTGCGATGATTGCCAGTCAGGCAATGATATCAGCCACATTTTCTTGTGTAAAGCAATCCATGGCCCTCGGATGCTTCCCAAGGCTGAAGATAATCCATACATCGAGGAAGCGAATGGGTCAAATATATATTCCAGTCATCAATTACTTTCTGATGACCATGTGCATCATTGTGGTTGCCATATTCCGCAGCACAACAGATATCGCCAATGCATATGGTTAAGTGCCCTCCTTCCTCATTCTTTGGATTTCTTTTTGCTCACGGCATTCCTTTTGCTGCTAATGCTGCATATCTTGTTTACTCTCTTTTATTTGTCAGGCATTGCTGAAGTTGGAGTGATGATTGTGACCACCACACTGGTCACCCTCGTTATGCTTCTCATCTGGCAGACGAATTTGGTCCTTGCTTTCTTGTTCCCTCTAGTGTTTGGATCGATCGAGCTCATTTATTTGTCTGCAGTTCTTTCCAAGCTCTTGGAAGGCGGCTGGCTCCCTTTAGCCTTTGCCAGTTTTTTCCTCTGCGTGATGTACATTTGGAACTATGGAAGCGTGCTGAAGTACCAGAGCGAGGTGAGAGAGAAGATATCCATGGACTTGATGCATGACCTTGGCTCTAACCTTGGGACAGTTAGGGTCCCAGGCATTGGGTTGCTGTACAATGAACTTGTCACCGGGATTCCATCAATCTTTGGTCAGTACCTGCTGAGCCTTCCAGCAATCCAATCCACCATCGTCTTTGTTTGCATCAAGTATGTTCCAGTTCCTGTAGTTCCTCAAGAGGAAAGGTTCCTGTTTCGAAGAGTTTGCCCCAAGGACTACCATATGTTCAGGTGCGTTGCTCGATATGGGTACAAAGACGTGAGGAAGGAGAATCACCAGGCATTTGAGCAGCTCCTGGTTGAAAGTCTAGAGAAGTTCCTTCGACGAGAGGCTCAAGATCTTGCCTTGGAGAGGGATCTCAATGACTTCGACATGGACAGTGTTTCAGTTACTGGTGATGATGGTGCTGGTGCTGGAACTGATGACCTCAGGACTCCTCTGCTGATGAATGATCAAAGACGAGAGGAACCGGGAGCTTCATCACAAGCTGCTGCTCCCATGGGACTCTTACTACCCTCAAGTGTTATGTCATCAGATGAAGATCCGAGCTTGGAATACGAGCTCTCAGCCCTTCGAGAAGCAATGGAATCTGGGTTCACTTACCTGCTAGCTCATGGAGATGTAAGGGCCAAGAAGGAGTCGTTCTTCCTCAAGAAGCTGGTCATTAACTACTTCTACGCATTCTTGCGAAAGAACTGTAGAGCAGGTGCTGCTAATCTGAAAGTGCCTCACATGAATATCTTGCAGGTAGGAATGACCTACATGGTATAAATGGCAGTGTAGGTGTTTCTCCAGGAGGGACGTGCTATTTGAGTGTCGGAGAATGTTAGTCCATTCAAAACTGGCTACAAGTTTGGGAACACTATGAAATAAACTAGAATCAGGAGTACCTTTTTCAACTCCAAATCTGGCTCTGGTGTTGGCCGTTCATTCAGTACATGTTACGGTCTAATAACATCTATTTCTATAATTTAAGTTGGTCAAAGATGAGATGCTTCCTTCAATTCATTTCCAAATAGCAAGGTTGTCAAACTGGTGGTTTATGCCAGTGTGCCGGTTTTAGCAAGTGGAATGGTTCAACCGGTGGCACATACCGGTTTGTGCCGGTTCATACCGGTCAATATTATAAATAAAATTATAAATACTCATATTTAAACATGACAATTAACGTCAATACATAAACATTTATATTTGAATCCAACAAATAACATCAATATTTAACTTTTATACTAATAAAATAAATAATAAAATAATTTTTATCAATTAAATTCTCTAAAATAAAGTCATTTTACTTAGAGATTCGTATATTGATCATGCCGGTCATACCGGTGGTGTCACGCCGGTTTTATGACCGGTACCGGTTGAACCCGTATAACCGGTGGCATGTCGGCCGGCGTGACAACCATGCCAAATACTGTACCGCAATTTGTAATACCATTGACCAATCAGTAAAAATAAATAAATAAATGGGGTTCACACTTTTTTCTCTCCATTATAATCGTCATTTTGAGTAGGCGATTCACGTAAAAACAATGTTAATCATCACTTGTCATACGACGGACTAGGAAAAGCATGAACTTTCACAAAAAATTATTCAAAATTTCCTTTGATTTGAAGAATTTAGAGTTAGGGTTTACAGTTTACAATTTGGGATTTAGGGTTAGGATTGAAAATTTAAGGGATCGTTTGCTTCATGGATTTGGTACCAAAAACCAACCATCATGGATTTACACACAATCCGTTGTTTGCTTTGTCAAAAAAATGTTTAGATAAATCTGTGGGCCCCCGGATTTGGGTTCCCCCCCTCCAAATCCATGGGCCCTACGGTTTTATAAATCCCACCTCATACCCTGGGATTTGGAGACAAGCTGAAAAACTATCAAATCCATGATAAAAATAGCTCAACAAACAAAGGATTTCCTCAAATCCATAATGCCCAAAATCCCTAATAAATCCCAAGGTTTTTAATTAGCAAATCCATAACAAAACCCTGGTTCTAAAATCTTTGAAGCAAACGACCCCTAAGGGTTCGGGCTTATAGTAATGCATTGATTAGTTGTGATTGTAATACCATCTATTAGACTAATGCTATTAATTAAAATTCAAAATTTAATGTCTTAAGCATATTTTTAGAGTAGACTAATGTGTTACATCTCGCCGTCCAGCAGTGATCCGACCATTTACCGCGTCTAGTAGTGGCCCAACCGCCCGGGGGTTCATTACTTAACATCATCCATACACATTCACATACAAAGCACAACGCGTGCCTCCACCTTAAGTAGGCGGTGGGAATGTGGGATGATTCACAAACATAATCGCCCATAACTGGAAAATTAACTAACATTACTTAAAATAAAAGCATAAATTATAAGATTTACGGATGGATCCCTCACACACATAATCGCCCTGTAATCAACTCTCCAAATATGCTTGCCTCTACTTTGTTAACAACCCGCCGATCCCAGGGCAAAAGATAAGTACCTGTTTGCTTTGCCACCTGTCATAATCGCTCTCCCCCCATCTCCGCACAGTTTGGCTCCCAAAATCACCATTGAAGTCGTGGCTCTGTCTACTTTTGCCGATTGGGACGCCGTAGAGGTGAATGGGTTTTGGGGGAGTGAGGGCGGCCGCTCCCGGGATTTTTCCAATAATAGCACCTTTTAAAAAAAATTACAAAACTAGCACCCAGCCGAAAAATTATACTAATAGCACCATTTTTAATAGACCGCACCTCTAAGGTGCGGTCCAATCGACGTCAGCAAACACACCGCACCTTCCGAGAGCGGTTTGTGTTTTCTGGGCAGCGGGGTCGGAGACCGTCAGATGGGGCTGCGATCCAAGGGAAGACCGCTTGCCAGGTCAGCGATCCTAGCCACGGATCGAAGACCGCAGCGCCGAGGTGCGGTCAAGCTTGGGGAAGTGCAAACCGCCTCGGCAAGGCGCGGTTTTGGCTTGGGCAAAATTACCCGACCGCCCCTGGAGGGTGTGGTCTGTTGGGTATAAATACCCCCTCCCCCCTCTCATTTTTTCACACCACAACCATTCTCCACTCTCTCTCTCTAGAATTAGCTCTCTAACTCCTCCCCTCCCCTCCCAAAAACCTAGGAAATAGTGGTCTGTTGGTTGTGGCTAAGTCCGATCTGCCATCAGAAAACATTTCTTAGTTTTTTCCTCAAAACCCGCCGAGCCGAATCTCTGTCTGCATTTCCTGAAAAAATGGCCGATTGGTGGCAAGGAGAGGGAGTTTATGTTGATGAATTTCAAGAGGTACATACTCATTATTCTGGTTTAATTTTTGTTGTTGTTATAAGCTTTTTAATTAATCTATGTACTAACCTCGTTGTTATTTTCTCGTAGGTTGGGGAGGACGTGGATATATACAATCAACGGTATTATCTCGAGCAAGGACCGTTGGATCCAACCGACTTGTACGACCAACCCAACCATCGGTCAAGGAATGTTTGGAACGATCACCCGCTACATACAATTCTTCACCATTTGCCCTTCTTTTATTTTGTTAATGTATTTAGTGGAATATAAAATAAATTTATGTTGAATTTTTAATCGTGTTGGTTGTTTTCAATAATTTAATCGAATACACAGCGCCACTTACTTTGACTCTTTATAAAGAGATGCACGTCTAAGGAAATGAGGTTTTAAGCGATTATCATATCCTCCCATTCCCTGGGAAAATCGGGTATTAAGAGATCCTCGGATCCCCCCTTTTCTGTCAAAAAGACTGTGTTTCTAAGAAGATGTATACCTCTTCTAAGAGTCTAACGAGTGTTGCTTTGTATTCGATTAAATTATTTAAAACAACCAATACGATTAAATTATCTACCAAACAACCAATACGATTTATTTTTATGTGTACAAAATGAATTTTATTAATTTCAAACATTTGAATGTGTATGTTTCTCTTTAAATTATTATTCATTAACAATGTTATTTATGTTAATTAATTTAGTATGTTTGTTTTACGATAATATGTATGTTTCTCTTTAAATTATTATTCATTTAGAATGCATATGATTCTTCCCAATCACCAAAGACAGCGGCCAGAGCTTTCTGCTTTCCATGCCACGCCTTCTTATAGTTAATCATATAACCATAACGATTTGCAATGTCAGCGTTAATGACTTTCACCTTCAGGTCCGGATCTTGCTCAATTAGATGCTTGATAGTCGCAGCAACCACCCTGGATTTCAACTGTCGATGGCCTTGGGAAGTTATGGATGACACACATGTGTGTGTGTTCACCGCACGGGATATGACCCAGTGGCCGTGTCTCTTGCTGTTGATGGCCCGAATCCTAACATTGCACCCCTCGTGATGATTACGGCATTTGACTATGAGCCTTTTAGTGTTGGAATGAGTTGTGTGCCATTCAAAATGTCGAGTCATTGCTTCAGTCTCAATGGCGTGCCGCACCTCCTTCTTCGAGCCAAATTGTTGGCCCTTCATAAACCCAGTGAGTGGACCCCATATTGGGACCCCTAGCGGCTCCATGTCGCTGTCGACCATCCAATTGTCGTCTAGAATGTGATTGTAGTAGGGGACTGGTACACAGTCACGAGCCACCTCATCATCATTAGCTGAGTCTGACTCTGGTCCTGAATCATCGGTACCTTCAAAAGGGTCGGAGCTGTCTGCACTGACGTTGTTCTCTCCTTCTTCATCGGAGGGGTCACTGACTGGTGGTGGCAGGGCATCCTCCATCTGATCCAGTTCATGAAAGGCACCTTCATAAGCTCCATAATGGTAGTTGTGAAAACTACCGCTGCCTGATTGGAAGTTGTACTGAGGTTGGTTGGGGAGGTCCGGTTGAACTTCTTCTTCATACGACGGGAAAGATTGATGATGACCTTCACCTTGCTCTTGGTACTGAAAATAGGAATAAGGATCATGGTAACTTTGGTAGGGATGATCGCCATATAATTCACCTCCACCATGGATACCAGATGTTTGACCGTGTCTAGAATGACCTCCAACGCCTACGACCGGCTCGGTGTAAACGAACATCTCGGCTTTGGAAAGATTGTTGGACCTCAAGAATTCGAGCATGACATCTACCTCATCCTGAGTGGTTATGAGATATTCCTCATGCCACAATGACCCACTTTCTTTGTTTGGATATCGGTACACCATACGATCAACACTTCTCGTGCCATCCATGCAAGTAGCGTTAGTGCACATTTAATGGAGGTCTTCAAGCAGCGGTCTGGTAGCGACCTTTATCTTCTGAAAATTGCCACCGACGTAGGTGACCCCCCTTCCGGTCTCTTCCGTGTAACCATTCCACCGTAAGCCAAGCGTGAACTTTTGGAATGCCATCTGCAAAAAAACTGTAGTTTAGTTAATATCATAAAAATAAAAAATAACAATAAAAAGTAATACAAAATAAACTTACGAGTTAACGTTAATCGCAAAAATACTAAAGAAATATAGAGCTACAACAGAAAATTGAAAAGGAAGAAGGAGAGGTGTGAAGAGAAGTGGTTTTCCGGGAAGTCTTTCATAGGCAAAATCACTGATGAAAACCGCACCTTAGAGGTGCGGTTTTCGTCTGCCATGCAGGCCCATGCAGACCCACGTCTGTTATTCTGCATGGCATGTTGGAAATTAATTGACCAAAATCGCACCCCAAGGTGCAGTTTGTATGACAAAACCGCACCTTGGGGATGCGGTTTCGTTTTGGAGAAACAAACCGCATCTCCATGGTGCGGTTTTGCTAGGTCAGGCTAAAACCGCACCTCGGCCAAGCGGTTTCTGTAGGTCAGACCCGAAACCGCTTGGCCAAGATGCGGTTTTGGTCCAGGATTATAAACCCCACCTTTGAGGTGCGGTCCATAAAAAAGGGTGCTATTAGTGTAAATTTTTTCGGCTGGGTGCTATTTTTGTAATTTTTTTTAAAAAGGTGCTATTTCTGGAAAAATCCCGCCGCTCCCTTCCCAATTATTTGTCCCCACGTAGCTAAGTAGAGAGGTTTAGCCTAGTGGATGCTTTTTAGAATTATAT